TGAAGGTTAATATTATACTTAAATGTAAAAAAGCGCTACTTGGAAAGTACTTCAGAAGTTTTGGGTTAAAAATATATTCTAAAAGGGCCCCTTGTTGTTTCTTTTGGTATTTTTTTACAATTTTATATAAAAATAAGTCCCAAATGAATATATGTATACTCGTATTTCAATTGCAATATTCCTAAAAAAGTCAATAATTTATTGTTGTCAATGCCACCCGCAGTAAACGAGACCCAGCTCTTTAAATTTCCAGTTCAAAGTCGAGACAAATTCTCAGTCAACATTTTAAGCACATCATTAATTTTTCACAAATAATAAATTCTAATTCTATCACATAAAAGAACTGAAGAGTCTTAAGCCACAAAAAAATCACCCACACATATACATATATACTTGTATGAGCAGCCTCGCGGATTGACATCGAAACTGCATTATTACATAATATATGGCATACATTTTTCAAGCATTCATAGAACGAACCACAGCAAGCGCCTACAAAGGAATGTATGAGCACAAAGAAACATGTGTTTGTGTGAGCATATGTGTGTGTATGTTTGTGAGCATGTTTGTCATAAATTCAATTGCGACGAGTATTCGCCACTTGGCTTTGCATTGCATTGATTTATGGCTTTCTCACTATGAACATAATGTGCCGTTATCCCTTTTGTGCGCATAAAAACAACAGGAAACCCTCATACACACACACAAATATGTGTATATATATATGCAGCAGCGTATAAGTGAATCCAAGTGAAATCTGATCTGCATTATCGCTTGCATTATTCTGCTTTCTGCGCTCGCTCTTCTCAGCTGGTATTTCTCATTTAATTTCTACGCGGAAAGACATTGCAGGTGCCAGCAGCACTAAGAAATTCCATTTCGCCGAGTGCTAGCTGAAATCCCATAAGCATGTGTGTGTGTGTGTGTGTGCGTGCAAAGTCTTTAGCACTCGCACTTGACTCGCCTGACATCTTTGTCTCTTTACGAATGCGAGTCCATGCTTCAGGTTAAACATTTAGCGAATGCTGTAAATTCTATTCGGCCGTCTTTGTGCTAAGTGATGCGAGGCATGTAGACACACTCGTGTGTACCGGTGTTTTCTTACAATGCGTGAATAAATGCATTTTATTGTGAGTGTGGTGGTGTGGTGATGGTGCACACACGGCTCGAAAGTTTCGGGGTGCGAAGACTCTTTCTCTCCCTGTTGGAATTTCAAATTACTTGGCAATTCTGTGCGTGGAAATTTCCGGTTATAACACGTACTTTTTGTTTAGTGACGCAGTTTAGCTGCAATTGGGAGCAAAACAGTAAGCTCTAATTGTTGAGAATTTTATATTCGAAGAATTACAAAAACAATTTTATAAGTCAATTAATGTTTTACAAAAAGCTCAGCTTGCTAAGCTTCTGTATATATAATCTTCTTCCTGTTCATGTTTATCATGCACTTTGACCCGAATTGCAAAATATGAAAGATTATGTGTTTAGCAGAATTCAGTGGCAGCCTCCTTCTTCACCTACTATCACCAGGAGTGAAGGAAATGGAATAAGAAGAAGAAGACGGCGATATGGTATTCGGTCTCTTCGACTTAATAAGTCAACACTAAAGTTGACAGTTAAAGTGCAACGTGTGACGTAGGAGCTAGATCTTCAGCTTATAGTACTATCTCATAAGATATTGAGCCTCGTTTCTATAATTTCATGCTAGAAAGTGTTAGCGGAACCTCCTTACCGGCTGTCGAAATCGTAATATTAGCATTAGGCTAACCGTGATGAGATCTTCTTAAAACAACATACAATATTAATTCGTCGAGAGATTATTGTTCTTCTGGATTGCATATCCAGCTCAGAGAGTCACCTGTTAGTAGAAGCGCTACGACGTTGGACTTCAAGATTAATATTGTTATTGGGTTGGGTAATTGTCTACAACTTCAAAGCTGTGACTGTCGGCAGCGACTGTAAATGCTATATGCTGTAATGCTATATTTACGCTAACTAATATCATTGGAACATGCGGGATACATGTTTGAGACGGTTGTCTTTCCATAACCTAGATTGGAAGCGGTCCTCGGTATTTCAACTGCTCAATTGTGATCACCGTGAACACTGCCGCAGGGATCAGTATTTGTATTACTCCCCCAGATAATTTATTAGATATATACGGAAGATATTATTATGTCTTGAAAGTTGTAGGCTAACTCTCGTGTTAAAAAAAAATTGACGTGTTGTGCAAAAAATCTTTTTAAATTGGACCACAAACTGGATAATTTGCAAAATACCATAGGCACCGAGGACAGTCAGGTTCACGTAACCAGAACGAATCCGAATTTTATATGGACAAAGACTGTCAACTAGGCATTCATCTAAATTATTTCAATAACTGCTGTGGACACGATGCTTTAATGTTTTTAAGTTAATTGATACTAAATGTCGGGCTGCATCGCTCGAAGAATTATGTTCCTACGACACCAGCAATTTAGAAATAGGAAGCGAACGCCAATTTAACTAAATTCGTAAAGCCCGAAAGGCTGGCCGATAATTTTAAGTGGCTTAAGCATAATGCAAATACACTACACAACAACAACACCGCATCATATTTAAACGGTTTACGACGCTTCGGTAGCGAAGATGAGCTATTAGCCGAGCGCCACATGACAAGTTGGTGGCTATCAGGTAAGAAGGTGTTCGACGAAGAGAAGAGGTGTGCTGGGGGTTAAGCGGAGATGGGGCGAAATAATGTCGACTTTAATTATTGCAACAAGCCATTATCGCTGCAATAATAAAGCAGCAGCGAAGCGACTGCAGGGTATACACATGTTGGTGATGCTCGGAGCTTAAAAGCTTTGTGGTCTGGGGATTTTGTTGTCGTCAAACTATATACTGTTTCGTGGAAACATTTGTGTTTAATTAACAATTTGTGAGTGCCGGCATAATTAACTACCGCATATTTGTTGATTAATAAGCCGCGGTGTATTTAGTTATGTGTTCGTTTGATTGTTTGCAAACTGAAAAGCTTTACTCTCGCGTGTTTTTATTTTCAAAGTTACACGTAGCTCAGTGTGCAGCAACTTGTTTCAGTTAATCATTAGCTCGAAAGCTCGTTAATGAGCTTTTAATTAGAAATTTCATAGTGGGATGGAAGCATAAGTTCTTAGTAGAAAAAAAAATAGAACGAATAGTTCTGGATGAAAATCTCTGTTAAACGTGAATTTTTAGATAGCTAGGAGACTACTAGAAACTTTAGAGTGATTCTACGTTGTAGCAACTTGTCATTCGTCACTTTTGACGTAAAAAAATTCTATACACATTCATTAAGAGAAAATTGATATCGATAACAGTAATTAAAACGTTGTTGAAACTTTAATACAAAGCAAATTTTACTAATAATGGGTATTTGTAATGAATATTGGAATACTCAACATAAATGAACTGCATGGTTAAAGAGATGAAGCAAGCGCTGTAGAGTACTCCAGGTGAATAATAAGTTCATTTACCCATTGTGTGCTACTTTGGGCGATGCAGAGCAAGAAATATCATGGTTACCTACAAGTGTAAACATTCACTGTGCTTACAAGTAAAAAAAAAATATCAAGTATGAATTTGAAGTATACTTTTGGGCGGAATTTTAATAAAGTATTAGGTATATAGTAAAAAAAAAACCATTATTTTTGCATTAAGTTGAATGCTTTAACTATTAATTTTCGTATCCAGCCTTATTCAAATGGTTCCAACCGGTTTTTCGTGCAATGTTTAGATCCTGGAAAATCGTAATCGATGTTTGAACTTGGCGATTTCCGTTATTTGATCGATTTTTTCGAAAATGGGTCTTCCAGAGCGTGTTGCATCTTTGACATCGAAATTACCGGAACGGTAATCGTATGTATATATATCAAATTTTTCCTGATTGACAAGAAATATTACATTTGCCAGTACTTTAATACAAATCTCTATTGTTGCCTTCAAAATATGCTCTCGAGCCAAAATTGTAAGTATTCCACGGCTTAATCCAATTTTCTATACACTTATTATTAGTCTGGGTTGGGTGATCTTAAAAGCCTTTAGCGAATTGGCTTCGGTTTTTCAGTTTCGGGAGCAGAGAAAAGTCACAGGAAGCCAAATTTGGCGAATACTGCGGTTGAGCGATAACTCTTGGCTAAAAAGTCAGTGACAGTCATGCTAGAATGCAGTTATCGTGGTGAAAAATCTATGAATTTTTTGTTCACAAATCCGGTAATTACAACGAATTGCTTGATGTGAACGCCTGAAAATGGTCAAAATTATTGAGTCGTTCTACAAAAGATACTCAGATAGTCTGCTGTCTCTCTGATGCCAACATGACGATTTTCAAGCACTGTTTCTGTGAATGGATGACTCGCATGCGACAATTTTTTATGACCTTGCAGACTTATCCTAAAGCTTTGTGTGATTCAAATACTTGTGTTCGTGATGAAGTAGACTCCACAAAAATTCTGGGACAATTTCAATGCCCACGTAGCCATGATTGCATTGGAAACATACAATTTCAAGCAAACTGTTTGTTCAATCTTTTTTTTCATGGTAAAAATCTGTAGAGAAACTTTTCACGTCGTAAACAAACAGCTGCCCAACTCATACTCATGGACATATGGAGATTAAACTTCAACGAACATTAAAGAACTTTATACATTCTAAGAAGAACAAAATTTTCAATTCGGTTTGCGTGTGCAGTTTAAATGGGCCAGTCAAATGGACGAATCAAATTTGATCAGATGGTATTTCATTATAACTGTAGTTGTTATGTTGTTAGCGAGAGATCAATGGTTAAGTGAAGGAAAATATTTAATAATTTGAGAAGTATATGCGCCTAGAAGCATACTTTAACGTATATGTTATGTATATAAAACTGTTACTATGTTGTAATTATATAAATAGCTAATTTTTGCCACTATAATATATATATTTATGATATGATATTTTTCTTTTATCTTTTCTTCTGCTGTTCATGCTTGAATACATAACTAAAGTAGCACCTGCACTCCTTGGACACGCTAGCTTAGCTCATGGTTTACCACTCGCTGCACCAGCCTTGGCACCACTCGCTGTTAAGTAAGTATATGCGAATAATGTAGAGCGTAAAAGCGAAAAGAAAACTGCAAATAAACTAAAATAGTTGCAAGTTATATTAAATAACGCTTGCTAAGCAGTGTTTACTACCGAAGGGCCACGTTGTGAGCTAATTACTCAAAATTTATTTGCAACGCAATTTTTTCTTACACTTTTAATAAAAATTCGCACACATTTGCTTCGCAGGACACTCGCCGCACCCGCTTTAGTGCATACCGCCGTCGCTGGACATGGCGTGCATTACGGTTACTAAGCAGAAACACAGTTAAGCAAACGGAGCGTAGGAGTGAGTGAGAGAGCAGCAGTAATGGGTGGAGACGGAAGCGCTGAAAACGAAGCGACAGTACGCCAACGTCGTGACACTAAATAACAAAAACAAAAATAAAAAAATTAACATAAAAATAAAAAATTTAAAAATAAAATTAAAGTCAAGCAGTAAATAAGAAAAGAAGAAAATAAAATATTACACAATTATGTAGGAGAACAGCAGGAAATTACAACAAGCACACAAACACAATAAAGCAAATTCATCTGCATGCATGTACAACAACGACACCGACAACAACAACAACAGCAGCAAACACCACAACAATGAATAACAACTAAGACAACACAAACACCAATAAAACACGCATGAATGGCAAACACGAAAAAACAAACAAAAGCGGCAAAAAAAGCGAGCAAAAGCAAGCAGCAAAATGGCACTAGAAGCGGAAGCGTTGGTAAAAACAAGCGGGGGCTGAGGTGTAAAAAATAGACACGAAAAAGCGCATGCATAATTTGTAAATAACTTTCGTTATATATTTTGCGTGTAAAAATGTGGCAATAACAACAATAAACTATGTTGCAACAATAACATAAAGCAGCAACAAACAACAACATACACCTACAATACAACCGCAAGCAGTGGACGCGGATGTGGTTGTCAATATAGGCGCTGCACAACAGTGTAAGCCACAACGCCTAAAAGTATGCAACACAATTTACCACGCGAGCGGAAAATTACAAAAGCCGACCGCATAACAACATTGCACACAAATAAATGCATGTATGTGCGTGAACTGTGTTCACTAGTTGTCGCACACCGCTGCCTCTGCCTGCTTTGCCGATTTTGACTATTCGATTGCCTTCCGCCGTAATTTGCATTTAATTCGTGTGCTCGTTTTTGGCACGAAATTCCTTGCAACAATGTAGTTTTGTGCAACAACGCCTCAATATTTGCCAATACACTCGTATATATAATAAATATCAATATTCGTATGTGTGTTGGTGTGTGTGTCTTGCGCCAAAGCCTCCGAACATCACGCCAATTCATTCATTGTTATTCTCTCCATTTATGTTTTACTCTATTTGTATAAGTTGTTTTTATCGCGGTTAAATTTTACTTTTTCATTTGATGTTTTATGTTTGTCAAATAATAATACATAAATACATAATTCACTTTATCTACACAATGCGCATTTCACCTTTGTTTGCGATTTCATTTTGTATATTATTTTCGTATATTGTACGATTTTTTATGAAATGCTTAAATAAAGAAAATGTTAATACTGTGGAATAAGTCAAGATTTATTGGGTTTCACTTTTCAAGGTTTTTTGCTGAGAATTTCTATTAACGGAATGGTAGGTAAAGACGATTTTTGTTTATGTGAATTCGAAAAAAATTTATAGGTTATGTACCGTTGTGATCAGTCCGAGTAAAATTTGATGATACTTCAAATATTCTCTGAAAAATAGTAAACAGCTTAATAATGATTCTGATTACTACTTGGTATTGTAGTTAAAAACAACATGTCTCTCTATGTTATCAAGAAACAGCAACATACTCGAAACTGTTTTCAAGTAAGATTCATTTTATTAGATAGCTAAACAGCTAACTATACCTTTGAGTAGATATAGACGAATAATACGAATCATTCAATTCACACGATCAACGCGATTGAATGAAATTGCATAATGGAATACTTCAAATAATCTGGGAGTAGCAATCACTAAAAAGCTCGATAAAAGCTTCAAAAGAGTTGATTTCTTGGATAACATTTGAGAACTCAAAATGGTGTATAAGGCAATATCTTTAAAGTTTATCATTGTAAGAAAATATTTCTTGTGAATGTACGTATATAAAAATATAATTGTACATACATACACTGCATATATGTATGTATATATATATACTGTGTATATATACTATATTGAAGGGGACAAAATAAATATTGATGAATAGATAAGTACTTTTCAAAACAAAATTAAAATCCACCTTTCCCTTTGGCCACACCTCATATATGGGTCTATTCCATAGAAAGACTTTTAGTGAGTTTTTCAAAATTAAAGTCGAAACGACCTTCCTGGTTGCTTCGGTGTTAGAACTTGATAACAGGTACCTTAGCTTTAGGCCTGGTATATTGCTTAAATTTCCGTCGAATGTCCAAACATAGAAGTGATTTAAAATTTTATTTCGATTAGGCCTTGGCCCTGGCGAATCCCTTAAATATTAAAATGTGAGTTAAATTTTCAGAGCGCTAGAGCTTTTACAAGTTTCGGTAAAGCCTTTTAAAATCGAGAGAGCTGTTACTATACGAAAAGTAAGTACTCTATAATTATCAAACTGAAGCGAAGTCAGCTTAAAAAGTTTGCAAAAGTTTTTCAAGTAGTGAAATAAAACTGGTTAGTAAAACTAATTCTAAAACCAAAAAAATTAAAATATATATATACTTTATGTATCTCTTTAGATTGAAAATTTAGGCATTATCGGGTTCTGTTTAAGTTGTCACTTATGTAAAAGCCCCGTTTTGTAGTTTAGATGATAAAGTGAGAAAAAAAATACCTGTCTTCCACTTAGGCATCCTCAAATCCTTATGAGAAAGTGTTAGGTCTATTAATCTCGCTGAACATGTCCAGTATAAAGATAGTCCTTGAAGCTCTTAATTCTGGTTTGGAAACACATAAACTGAGTTCACGTATAAGCTCAAACTCTGACAGCTCTGGCTTAATGGGAGATAATGTCAAGAGGTCGTCCGATGAATATTAAGTCTACATAAGAAATACTAAAATTTGAAAAGAAATGCGATTTCTTAGCATAGTTACCTTTTAGCACGATACACTTAACCCAGCGATTCAACATCTTTAACCCGACTAAAAAATAAAATTTCTGAAGGTTTGTTTCTTTCTGTATGGCGAGTGACTTTTTCAAGTTCGGAAACAAAACTACGATTCGATAGAAATATTGCCAGTGGTCGTTTATGAAAATATACTAGACGTTAGTTAAATAATTTGGCGATAGCGGCGCTATCGACCAGTGAGGCTACATATTTATCTATTTCTAAATATAATATGCAGAAGTTGAACTTATGGTAACCTGAAGTGAATATTTTGTTCACAAAAGTATAAACGGAGAAGACATTGTTTTGGGAGTCATGTCAGATAACTGTTATTACTATCACACCTAACCTTGCTTTCGATGACTTTATCGATATACATCTACATCATAACAAATAATCAAAAAGTCTATTGTCTATAGAAATCAATGCTCAAATAAAATATTTCTTCAGTGGGGGTTTCTATATGCAAGCGCTGTTGTGATTAATAGCCGTACTGTTGAATTTCTTTTGTTATACATTTTCCATCGCTTGCTTCAGTGTTGATGCATCTTTTTTATCCGGAGCATTGGGTTTACAAGCAATACTTATTGGAATTTTTATACCCTGAATAGGGTTTACCACGATGTTGTCAACACTCAGAAGAAAATGTCGCAGATCATACACAGTATATATGTGTATAAATGATCAGCGTGAGTCAATTAGGCTATGTTCATATGTCTATCTGTCCATCCATCTGTACATACGTGAACTAGTCTCTCAGTTTTTGAGATATATGCTTGATCTGATATTTTGCACACGTGCTTTGCTTCACAAGTACCTGGTCATCTGTCGGCATCGCCGAAATTGGACCACTATAGCTTATAGCTGCCGGATCAAGTACAAGTCCTTGTATGGAAAAGTTTTTTGTTTGACAAGATATCTTCACGAAATTCGACATGGATTATTGTTTAAAACAACGCTATAAAATAAAAAGAAATTGTTCAGATCGGACAACTGTAGCGTATAGCTGCCATACAAAATGATTGATCAAAATCAAGATGAAGATCTTTTTCTACCCTTTAATGTTTTAAGAAATGCACCTGTGAAGGACATTATAGCTTCGGTGTTACTGGAGTTAACGTTTTGCTTGTCGGTTGTACAAATATTTCATATACATATATCTATATAAACGTTTGTATGTTACCACATCATGTAAATGTGCCAGTTCAAACACAATCAGTATAATGCAATTGTCCAGCGGTGACATATATATATATCTTAAGTCTTTTGAAAATGCTTGTGCAACAACATACATGTGTTTTTGTATTTCGTGGAATTTCAGCAGCAAATATTATTGTTGGTTGGTATATATCTTATCTTATACTGTTGTGGACATAGATGTAGCTGAATATATATATATATATATATATATATTTATATATATGTGCAATATGTGTGTATGTGTGTATGAACGTATATGTATATTAGAATCCCATTGTCTGCACGTGCCTTTGGGACTTTCACATTTTCACAATTTTCATTTGATTTCTGTACAGCTTATGACTTTACAAGCAGCTTTGCTGGTGTGTCCTTTAATTCTATTAACAATTTCTATTTGATTGTGCTATATAGCATTGTTTATATGTATGTACATATCTTCATTGTCTTATTTGTTTATTTAAGTACACATGACTCTTGCTTATGGGCTTATAGGCAGCAAATATATTTCTGATTGGTAAATATGTGTTTGTTTAAGGCCTTTTAAACATCTTAATATGCCAATAAACTTCTATCTATTTCTAAGAACTTGTTTATTGACTGTAGTTTTCAATATTATTAGCTTCAACTGACATTATTCGATTATATTTGCTTTGTGTGTGCATAAAGCTTAGGTAGGAGCTACTGGTATTATTAAAAGGGGAAGGGAAATGTTTAGAATGAGACGCCTTGAACTAATGATCTATTTTACCATAATTGGAGCTAATATGGTTCTATCTTCTTTGATTCCGAGTAGCATAAGAAAAAATCTCAAATTTTCACGTAAAATTTTATATATTTATATTACATATATCATGTGAATACACAAAATCTAGATAAAGATCATTTTATACCCTTTCATACTAAAAAAAATGCAGCTGTGTAGCGTATTAGAGCCTCGGTGTAACCAAAGTTAATGTTATTTCTAGCTTTTCTAGAGATTTTGGATTAGGCGCATAATTTTGGCTTTTTTGAGCTAGTATGAAACTAGTTGTGACCATTTCACCACATAAAAACTACTAAAAGCTTTTATAGAAGAGAAGACAATCGACTGACTAATTGGACTTGAGTTTTAAACTAGTGACAAAGTAGTTTCTAACTAGTTCTATTCACAGCAGACAGCAGCTTACTCCTCCCTACAGCTACACTACAGCAAAAATTATCTATTTCGACTTATTTATTTGTTATTCAGCAAAGGAATACCTTGCTGCATATAAATCGAATATTTTGCACTTCAATTCTGGCACTGCACGCTAAGGTAACAAAGCGAATCTATCAGATATGCTGCTCGTGAGGAACTTGCCGTATCTCTTTACATTGTCAATCAGCTGTACACGCCAAGTACACGCCAGTTATCCACCGGCACTTTAATATGCTTTTGTGTCAGATATGAGTAGTTTACAAGTAATTCTATAAATATTTTTCCACACATAATTATACAACAACAATACAAACACTACAACAAAATTTGTAATCACATAGCTTTCGGAGAAGTGCAAGTAAATTTGTCATAAAACCTTTAAACTGCATTGTGTGTGTTATTGCAGTCATTGTGTTTATTTTTAGTGCAAGACATTGTAAGCGGCTTGATCAGGATGCCTGTAACTCATCAGCTCTCTCATACATACAATACATACTCAGCTACATAACAGTTACAATATAAATTGAGCACACGCACATTTTCCCTTCTTAACTTCTATACATGCGCTTCCATAGTTCTGTGGGTGTGTGTGTGCGATTATAAATCCAGCCAACGGTACTATGCAACGCACTAAGCATGATAGATGACAATGCTGTTGATTATGTTGGAGTCGTAACCGATGCCAGCAATGATGCAGGCAATTCCACGTCAACTATGCCGTTTCACAATTTATACTACCAAAGTGATACCCCCTGTAGCACTGTACTTTTCACTTTGCTACAGAAATCCACCCACAAACGTATATATATTTCTGCACAATTTTGCTATTTCAACTTATTACTGTCAGCTCATCGTTATTAGTTCTCGGTTGTCAGCAAGCAAACAGCTGCTTCGGTGCTGCTCTTTGGTTTTGCTTTACTTCCTCTTCGTATTTGTTAATAGAGATTTTACAAGAAGTGATATGAAAGCTTGACAGTTGCCTTGATATGCTATTTGTAAAATAG